TTCAAGGTTTGAAACTTGTCTGCGATTTGTTTGAGGAGGGTGATCTTATGTCATTTAAACAAATTCAGAATAGGTATGGAGTTTCACAGAAGGACTTTTTTGGTTTTCTCCAGATGAGACACTTCGTTCAATCATCCCTTTCTTTCCCGGGTGATCAACCATTTTAAACTCAATAGAAACATTTCTATTAAAATTTAATAAGGATGCAATAAAAAAAAAAATTTATTTCTCTTTGCTATGCACAGTTAATGGAATCAAGCCTTCCACCACGGGGAATTCCAGGCTCATTGGGAAGCGGATATGGGGATTGATCTTAGGACTGAGACTTGGTTAAGAGCTTTTAGGGTGGCCAAAAAAAGTTTTACTTGTAATAAACTCAGGGAGAACCAATATAGAATTTTACACAGACTTCAACGTACTCCTCAAATTCTTGCATAAGATTCACCCTCAATACTCACCTTTGTGTGTAAAATGTAAAAACATTGTGGGCACTTATTATCATTGTATCTGGCAGTGTCCGTTGATACTCAGGTTTTGGAGGAATGTTGCTACGGAGCTCCGCTCCATTTTTCATCGAGCCATTGACGTGGAGCCTGTTTTATTTCTTTTTGGCCTGTCTGAGAGGCTACCTGTGTTACCAGGGCAGATGATGTTATTACGTAAACTTTTACACCTGGCAAGAAGATGCATCCTGCTTCAGTGGATACAGGCAAAACCTCCATCTGTTACACAATGGTACAGAGAGACTTTTAAAGTTTTCCCAATGGAAAGACTCAGTGCCTCTTAAAAGGCAATTCAAACACTTCCTATAAAATATGGCAAGCCTTTCTGGACCACCTACCTCCGGACTTGGCTGATGTGCTTTATAAAGGAGGCTCCCAATTTGATTTTAATTTTAATCAATAATTGTGCAATGTTTATTTCTTTTTCATTTCAGCTCTGACTCAGACCTTGTGACAGTCTTTATCTATTCAGTTCTATGCAGACTAAACTGTGCTGGATTGTTTTGTATTGTTCTATTTTGTTAAAAAAGACAATAAATTATTATTAAAAAAAAAAAAAAAAGATCAACACACACACAGGGGCGTGTCTGTGTGAGGGGCGTGTCTGTGTGAGGGGCGTGTCTGTGTGAGGGGAGCGTGTCTGTGTGAGGGTGTCTGTTGGGGGCGTGTCTGTGTGAGGGGCGTGTCTGTGTGTGAGGGGCGTGTTGTGTGAGGGGGGCGTGTCTGTGTGAGGGGGCGTGTCTGTGTGAGGGGGCGTGTCTGTGTGAGGGCGTGTCTGTGTGGGGGCGTGTTGTGTACATTATAAGTTTAAATCAGACGGTGTCAAATTTCACTGCAAAGTTTAACTGAACCTTTTTACAACTAAAGAATAAACAAACGAAGTGATGTGAGAGTAACTCTAGTCCTGATGTGGAGAGTAACTCTAGTCCTGATGTGGAGAGTAACTCTAGTCCTGATGGGAGAGTAACTTTAGTCTTTGTGGAGAGTAACTCAAGTCCTGATGTGGAGAGTACTCGGGTCCTGATGTGGAGAGTAACTTGAGTCCTGATGTGTAATTGTGTCCACAGATTATTTGCAGTAAGACTGTAAAAACAGTCGAGTCACCAGTCGTATAATGGAGTTTAGCTCAGGGTTTAATTTGCTCGTCTTTCATCTTTTATTATCAGAGTTTAAGATTCACTTCAAAATTATTACTTTTTTCATTCTTCCCCTTTGGTTTATAAACCAAATAAATCATTAAAACGTAAAAACTTTTAATAGTAAAGATGATCTTATGTATTTGTAACAAAAATATAATCAAGTCCATGACCACAGCAAGTGTCCTATTGGTTCAGAGTGATGATGTCACACATGTGTGCGTCCTATTGGTTCAGAGTTGATGATGTCACACATGTGTGCGTCCTATTGGTTCAGAGTGATGATGTCACACATGTTGTGCTCTATTGGTTCAGAGTGATGATGTATTGGTTCAGAGTGATGATGTCACATGTGTGTCCACAGAGTCGGTGCGGTTGGTCTCGGGGTCCGGTCTGTGTTCAGGATCAGTGCAGATCTGGGACGGGTCCTGGACCGGGGTCTGTGACGGGGACTTGGACCAGCGGGGGCAGAGGTGCTGTGCAGGGAGCTGGGCTGTGGGCTCCTTCTCTCCTCCAGGGGGCGCTCTCTCCTCTGGGGCAGACGTTCCACTGTGAGGGGACATGAGTCTGCTCTGATGGACTGTCCCGCTCCAACTCAAGCACCTGCTCTCTGGAGCCACTGTCCACCTCACCTGCTCAGGTAAGGGGCGGGGCTTCATGCTCAGGTAAAGGGGCGGGGCTTCACTGCTCAGGTAAAGGGCGGGGCTTCACTCTGTCTCTTGTCTGTTCAGAGCCGCTCAGGTTGGTGGGAGGAGCCAGTCGCTGTGCTGGGACTGTGGAGGTGAAACACAGAGGAGAGTGGAGACGAGTGGATGTGACCTATGACCTCTGGGACCAGGAGGCCACAGCTGTTGTGTGCAGAGACCTGGACTGTGGTTCTGCTGTTTATGGAGAACAGAGAGATGATTTTCCACAGAGTCGTGTGTGGAGGGTCTCATCTGACTGTGTGAAGACGTCTTCAGTGAGAGAATGTGTCTCTGGTTCATCTTCTTCCTCTTCCTGGGGTCTGGAGGTGAACTGTTCAGGTAAAAGTGTTTTTGTAAATGTTCAGGTTGAATGTGTCCAAATAGAAGAAAGGAAACATGTGTGACATGGTTAAATGTGTGAAAAGTCCTTTGCAGCAGAGCTCTGCTTTTAATAGTTGAATCTTGTAGATTGTGTGCAGCAGTGACAGTGACAGACTGTCTCATGTTCTCTTTGCTGATTCTCTGGAGATGGAGTAAACCTGTGTGCTTGTGATGGAGGATGCTGGGAGTGTGTGTGTGTGTTTGATTCTTGTTGTAAATGGATTCTACATAAAAGATCCGTTTAGACAAAGTTGTGTCTCTGATGACGTCATAGATGAGAAAATAAAGCTGCTTTTGTCTAAATGTGTTTCATTTGTAAAGTGGAAGTGTCAGTGCGTTTACATGTGCAGCAGGATCCGGTTATGACACTGTTCTGGACAGAGTGTTTCCATGAGCTCAGAGAAACCAGGATACTCATGTCCCCGTGCACATGCACCATCAGAGGAGACGGGACATTTACACTGGTCGCTATGGCAACTATGGCACAGATATGACAAAAGATAAACATGGAGCATCTTTGATCATTTAAGACTTTTTAACCTGATTTATAACAACAAAAAAAACTTACACACATTCAACTAACAACACAACACACACACACACACACACATACACACACACACAGATACACACACACACACACACCAGTCGTATAATGGAGTTTAGCTCAGGTGTTTAATTTGCTCGTCTTTCATCTTTTATTATCAGAGTTTAAGATTCACTTCAGAATTATTATTTTTTTCATTCTTCCCTTTGTTTATAAACCAAATAAATCATTAAAACTTAAAACTTTTAATAGTAAAGATGATTCTTATGTTTGTAACAAAAATATAATCAAGTC